TGTGAAGCCAAATACTGCTACCCATGGTGGACAGTGTTTGGTGAAGCTCCCCGATTAAAACAAGCTTGGAAGCAGGAGTGGCATCCACTTCCACAGTAGCTTGCCTCTGGAAACCCTATGAACCTGGGGAAAGGACGAAAGTTATACAGGAGGTGTCCAGGACTTTCGTTCATAGGGTCGCTATGAGTTGCCTACAACAACAAATATATATATATATATCAAATAATTCTACCGAACTCTGGCGGCCTAGTCGCAAGAAGCTGCACTGCAATTCTAAAGTCACAGGGTTCAAGGCCACTAGCTGCTCTGCAGGAAAAAGATGGGGAATTTCCTCCCATGAGATAAACTGCCTCTGAAAACCCACTGGACGGTCAAGTATGGATTGGTTCAGACTCTGTGGTACACAACAAAAATAATTTTATGTAAAACAATCATTTTTATATAAAAATACATATTATATATAAGCATATGTTGTTGTTGTTGTGGTTGTGTAACATCGAGTTGGAACCAACCCATAGTTGTCTCTTCAGCAGATTTTCAGAGGAAGTAAGTTGCATGGGAGGAAATTGTTCATCTGTTTCCTGCAGAGTAGCTGGTGGATTTGAACCATGTACTAAGCTCTGGTGGCCTGGTGGTAAGCAGCTGCAATGCTAAAACAAAGATGGGGCCTCTCTGGCAGTTTGAATCCAGTGGCTTTCCAGTAGAAAGATGGGCTACCTCCTCCCATGCAATTTACAGCCTCTAAAAACCAACTGGAGTTGGCTCTCTCAAAGGCAATACATTTGTGTTTGTGCTTTATCTAGAAAGAAAAGAAAACCATCTATAAGATGGATTGACACAATAACTATAATAATGGCCTTGAGCATATCAGAGATTATGAGAGCAACATAGAATAGGGCAATGTTCAGGTCTCTTGTTCATAGGATCATTATGCTATGTGTCATAGTCTACTCGATGGCACCTAACAAAAACCAACAGTAACAGTATCTATCTATCTATCTATCTATCTATCTATCTATCATCTATCCATCCATCCCTCTATCTCTCTACCTCTCTCTCCATTCATCCATCCATCCATCCATCCATCCATCCATCCATCCATCCATCCAATCTATTAAACCAGATATGATTTTTTTATGATTTTAGTATGTTTAATGCTTATTCTTGAAACTAAAACTAGTTCTACAGTGCAAATATTTTCTTATCTGTTAGAAGGTAAACTTTATGATAATTTTGCAACTAATTTTTCAAATCATGTATATTATTCAAATAACAGCTTGAAGAATTTTATTATGTGCTATCCAAAAGAAGCTGGCTATGGAGCTTTGCCAAAAATTAACTCTCACTTAACCGCACCAACACATAGCAGACCTTCCCTTGGAATTCTGAGGCTCTACCTTGCATAGGAGATTGTCCATTTTTATTCCATGGATTGGCTGGTGGATTTGAACCATCAGAGAGTCATGGCCTTTGAGTTAGTAGTGAAACACCCTGTGGCCTAAGTCAAAAGACTTCCCTCATTGCATGGTGTGTGTTAAAACATTGGGCCCTTAAGATAATAACTTAAAATTATTTCTGAAAAGTAGGTGAGAACTTCATTATGAAGATTCTTACTAGGGCAGGGTTGCTAAAGTAGTCTTTGAAACTGAGTTAATTATAGATGAACAATGAGTTTCTAAAACTAAAAAGAAAATTAAACATTCTTCCTCTACACTGACATGGTATAGAATTCACTTCCTAAATAACAGGCCTCTAGAAATTCTATGAACTTTGATAAATGTCGATGGTTGTCATGGGGTCGCTATGAGTTACGCTCAACTCAAAGGTAATCAACAACAACAACAGTGTAGATTTACCTATTTTTTGTTTTGTTTTGTTTTATAATTAGTAATTTCAAAATACTCTATTGCTTCTTACATGTCCCTAAACTAAATGAAGACTAGTTCTATCTTTTCATCAGTCTGGGAGTTCCATCAAACACTGCCCACAATGGGTAGCCATTATGGTGTCGGGCACGCCTATGACATAGTTGTTCCATTACAGCATTTGAGACCCAAATGACACAACATTCAGTGTCACAGCAAACCCAAATTTACCGCAGCATAGCAAACTGATCAGAGTGCTGTATTACTTAGAAGAATGTTCCTCCAAAATATAGTAACAAG